TAGCCCTCAGCCAAACAAAATTGCGAATCTAACCCTACGGTTAGTGTACAGCCTCGCAGACAAACTCGGCAGCAGAAATCAGCAAGTCATTGCAGAAGAGCTGATCTCTCAGGGAAGAATACTTGGGGGGGGGGGAAGGGAGGGGAGACTCGGAGGTGAAAATAACAGTTTAGAACGTACAATATGTATATATCTGCCCCTTGTTCTGACTCGGTTGACCCAAACATTTCCGGTTCGTTGCTCCATGGTTGGGAAATCCAACAGGTTTGGTAAATATAGCTTGTTCGGGGGCAGTCTGTTTAACAGACACATGTGGACCGTGCAGAATTCAAAGTCACTGTGTCTCTGCCAATAGCTTCTACCATCAGCAGAGACCCGAGTCTTCCTTTCAGTGTTAATTAATGGGGTAATTGCAGAAATAGTGATTTTCAAAGCTTCGCAGCAGAAATGTTTTACGGGTCCTAAAGATAAATTTTTGTGAGGAAAGTGGGACTCCGCCCGCAAATATTTTTGCTGTGACACTACCGGGACCTCTAAATCTGCAACAAAAGATATATTTTTGCAACGAATCTTGGGCCCCGCCAATATTTTTGCTGTGAAACTACCACAACACGCTATTTTTTTAAACTTACCCTTAAACAACCAGTACCTTTCCCGCATGTCGGCCGCAGGCATTGTGCGCCGGCCCGAAAATCATGACTGGCGGCCGATTGTATTTATCGGCGTCCGCCCTTTTCCATTTCAGGCCAGCGCTACCCGGCGGCCTCTGAAAAAATAGTTGGGAAAGGTACTGGTGGTTTAAACCACCACTACCTTTCACAGGCAAATGCAAAGTCCATCTTGTAGCACACTCCTGAAAAGTCAGGGGCGTGGGCCCCTATTCGGGTATTGGGAGTCTCTCTTACTGCTCTTGGGAGGCCTTCTACAAATGATGATTGGATAACAAAACCTGCGTTAGAAAAAATGTCCCAATGGAAAAATCAGCATACTTCTTTGTTTGGAAGGGCATTAATCATCAATAATGTAGTATTAGGCTATTCGCATCTATTTGGTACATGTCTGCAATCTGGTCACTCACCAGAACAGCAACCAGGGCATTTAAAAAATTACTGGTCTCCTTCCTCTGGAGGGGCAATCATGAACTCTTGAAAGTAATTCCAAGAGTGGCATGGCTTACGCTTGTCCAGCCTAAATCGAAAGGGGGTTTAGGTATATTGGATCCATCATTACAATGTCAGGCATTGTCTCTACAATGGATGAAATCACTGATATTACCTCCAGAGGTGCCCTGGCTACCTGTGGCCCTAGAGCAAATCAGACGTTTGGCGCCATCTACAATTGACAGGATACACCCACTCACATGTTGGTCCATTCCAAGAGGAAATGTTCAGTTACATGAAGAAAGGAGGGGGGGGGGGAGAAAGTTTGGGGACCTGTCAGGATAAATTTTGGGGTTATCTTATTAAAACCTGGAGACAGCTTCCACTTCGTGACAGACCTTTCCCATCAAGATATGAAGAAGTGTTAAGACAACCTCTTTTTGGTAATAGATGGATCACAGACATTAATGGGTGTGTTTACGATAGCTCTTCACATCCATGGTCAACCTGGGTTAAAAGGGGAATCCTGAGGATTAAGGATTTATGGGATCCATCGGTAAAGAGCTGGAACTCTGTAGAACAACTGAAATTCACACTCAAATATGCTAATCATTTATCTGAAAACTTGGACCAAATAGTTTTCTCCATTCCTTTGGCTTGGGTAAAAACGCTAAGGAAAGGAGTCCAACTGCAGGATTCTGATTGGGTGGCTGGGTATGATTCAGATAATGTATGGATAATAGGTCAGGTTGTATCCCAACATCAGGATGGAGTAATAATAAATATTTTTCGGATGCAACAGGATTTCTTCCTGGTTAAGTATGATCCAGATAGGGTAGAATGGGTTTCTTACATCATACAATACCCGGCTGCACCAATCTTGCTCGATGGCAGGTCAGGGCCTGGGCCTGGGCGCCTTCAACCAACTGGCGCTGCGCAACTGCCTGAATTTTCCCCAGTTGCGAAGTAGTCAAAAATAGGCCTCTTGTCGTCTGTCGGACCTGCCTTCACTTAGGGCGGCCGACCTGTTGCACAAGGGAGGAACTGATGCAAACCGATCCACAGGTAGTCGCTCACTATGAGAAGTCTCTGCAAAAAGGAAAGCGACAGATTATCGAAGATTGAACTTCTCAGAGGACTAGCGAAGTATGGAGGAGGGAATGCGAGGCATAGGCCTCGGTAAGCCCTACTGGGCCCCTATTTGCAACAGGTCGGCCGCCCTAAGTGAAGGCAGGTCCGACAGACGACAAGAGGCCTATTTTTGACTCCTTCGCAACTGGGGAAAATTCAGGCAGTTGCGCAGCGCCAGTTGGTTGAAGGCACCCAGGCCCTGGCCTTCTTTACTGACTGTATCTAAGTCAGGCCCTGGGCGAGATACGCAGCATAGGCCCAACTCAGACAGCGGGCGGTTGGACACAGGTAGCTGTCGGTGGCCCTGGGTCTGATTCGTTTGGTCTGAG